CCCTCCCCTCCCTCCCCACCGCATCCTCTTCCTCATCCACTCCAGCTCATTCGTTGGTTCCTCACGCTCATCGACAGACCTGCCGCGCTACAAGTACGAGCAAGCACTCCATCACATTCCCCGCGTCTTCGGATGTCCATCCTGCGTGCAAACGCGCGATGCGACACGAGAGCTACGACCAACCTAGAGCTTCACAATGAAACAGGAACAGTCAAGTGAGAGTCGTGAGCCCTTCGATGTACGTCAAGTGTATCCCAAGAGCTATCGAGCAGGTTGGCAGAACTTGTCTATGCAGAGCAGGCGGCCACGAGGTTGTCGACGAACTGAACGACGCTGCCGACCGCGGAGATTTCGTTGTCGTACTGCAGTCGAAGTCAGAGATGCTCGGAGCTACCGACCTGGTTCACCTGCTGCAGGTCAGTCTGCAGGCTGGAGGCCTGGTCGTCGTAGGTAGACTTCTTGACCTGTGTGGGGAGACCTCACATGAGAGCAAAGAGAGGGGAACGATCTCACCTCGTACTGCCCGCCCAGTTGCTGGCGGTGAAGGTCTGCTGAGTTTTCTTCTGCCTGGGAGCGGGAGACTTCAGAATGGAGGAGGCAGAGGCAGGGGAGCGGAGGAGAGGGAGAGGAGTGACGAAGCAAGAAGTAGAGGATCAGGGACCAGGGACATAGGGGAGGGCAAGGAAAGTAATGTATGCATTGACTTACTTTCGCCCTGTCCGCTGTGTCCGACAGCTCAACCAACTTCACCATCCACTCTTCTTTCTTGGCCTTGTTGTTTGAGATCTCTTCCTGGGAACCAGCCATCTGAGCGTCGATCGCTTCGATCCTGCTGCTGATTTCCATGCTCATCTCGTTCAAGATAGCGAGTGAGTCGGCGATCGTTGCTGCCGTCACATCCGACAAGGACGTAGTAGCCTGCAGCACAGCTGCTCAGCTGACAAATACGAGAGGAGACAAAGAGGTCGTCAAACCTTCTGGAGTCTCTGCAGCTGAGCTCGAGCTGGAGCAGGCAGGGAAAGAGAATCCTTCTCCAACTTTGCAACGCTGTCCTCAACCTGCTTAAGCCTGACATCGTTGCTTGTCCCCTTTGCGGCAGATGTCGTCATAGATTGAATCAGGCCGACGATGTTAGTAATCATCTGCTGCTGGGCTGCGAGGTTCTCTTTCTCAGCTTTGACCGGGGCGTTGTTCTTCAGGAAGTTTTCTTCAGCTGTGCACAAGCTCGTTGTTACCAACGACACTATAGCGTCATCTTAGATTCATTCCAACCTTCCTTCAACGCAGAAGTGTACTTCTCGAGTTGTCCCTTAGCATATTCAGCTGCAGACACAGCACTGCTCCTGGTCGACTGCAGCCTTCTAAGAATGACAACAAGCACGCTCCCTGCATCACCTGGGCTGAGCGAAACGCAGACTCGGATTCAATCCATTGCTGGTAGGCATCATCCTTATCCTTCTTGGTCTCACTGTCACATGAGAAAATCAAACATTCCAGAGCACGCGCAAGAGCAAGGCATACTCATCAAGCTTCACTCGCTCATCCTTCTCCGAGGTAAGGTTGGCCTTCAAAGACTGAAACTTCTCCTGCGATCTTGGCGTAAGAATGTGACTACTTGTGACTTATCAGACCTGAATGGTCAGGTAGGTGTCTTTGCGAGCACAATCAGCCTGCTGCAGCTTGGTAGAACGGAAAGCAGCGAGAGTCTGGTGGTTTTGAAGACGTCTAGCAATGCTCTTTGCCAGCATCTATCCAAGAGACTTACACGGTCGTACATGACAGAGTTGACAATCAACCTGAGCCTTGACTGGTAAGCTTGCCACAGCTTCGTGGATGGTCTTCAACAAGATCTCACGCCTGGAGTAAACCTTCTCCATGTTCTTGACACGATGAGCGTTGGCGTGTTTCATTGCCGCCATCTTCTGAGCCAGCCCAGAGCCCTGCAACAGCAAACTTAGTGATCAGGAGAATGCAAGAGCTGAGAGCTGAACCTCATCGTTTCCAGACAGAGCTACTGCAAGCAACATTGCAACGGCGATGGCTCCGCCTACCAAGAGGGCTTTCCTTCCGAAAGTCTGCTGGAAACCTTGGTTACCACAATCCTCTCTCCCCTCTTCTTCCTCCCCCTTGCTTACCTTCTTGTCCCTCCCGTTCACTTCCATGTATACCACGAAGCTTTCCGCCATGACTGCTCCCGAAATAGAACTCGGAACACAATGACTATTTAGTTTGATCTAATTTACTCAACTTTGATGAGTAAATCATAGTATGAGCTGACCGTGCTCCCTCTCAGTCATGCCCTACCGTCAAGTCACAGGCTCATGGTGATTGGCAACTGACCCGCGGCCGCCGGGCCCGCAATCATCGGATACTGAGCACACTGAGCGGCACGGCCGTGAGATCGGACGCCGCTTGACCCGACCGTGCCAGGATGATCATCCATTTCTCTTCAAGCGCCGTACTAGGTATGCGGCTTCAATGTCCGACTGTTCAACGGCAACCGCGGCCCGCCCGGGCCGGGCCCGGCGGCCCTGCAATCTGACTGATAGTAACTTGATAACCGTCAGTCGACTCTTCACTGCTCAGATCTGAGTGCCGTTCACTGCCGGCCGTTGCCGCAAATCTGGACGGGACTCGGCCCGGGCCGACTGAGACTCGCTGCCCGGCGGCCCGGCCCGGCCCCGGGCCACTGAGGCTAAAGCTACAGAAATGTCAAGCCTTCTACCACCCCTCTATAGTGGCAGAGGTCCTTTGCAAGGCCCCTACCCGCTCTCCGTAGTATTTGGACCCCTCAATCTACCTCGGCCTGGCATCCACCGAGCTGACCCACCCACGCTATGGAAAATAAAGGCCCTATCTGTCTCTTCCTTCATACCGCCATGCCCCCGTAGCCAGTTGCTTGAAGCAAGGGAGGAGCGCGTCTCAAGAGAGCATGGCGCAGCCGTCTTTCGTAAGCCACATGCTGCCGCCTCCCTCCATGTCCCTGACGCCCATGCAGGTCACATCCGCGCTGGAGATCACCGGAGATGTCGTCGAGCTTCCACGAACCCACGCGATTGTGCGAGCAGTACCAATCTCACAGGTTGGCAACTCCATCAGCATGCCAGGAGACCGAGACTGGAAGTATGCAAACATCATGTCACAGAAGGTCAACGATGTACAGAAGGTCTCCTTGGACGTGTTTGATTGTTTCCAATGAGTCACATGATTTGCACGACAGATTCAAAACCCTCCTGATGACATTGCTCTACATTGCAAGGATGGAGAGGTTCAGATGACATTATACATCACATGGGATATGTCTTGGTCAGATGTGAGTCTACAACTTGAAATTCTGTATATTGGCCCCTACTCAAAATTTGATGCAGATTCTCGACCTCCTTAAACAGAAGTTCCATCGCGCTTGCGTGTTTTCGTATTATGACCGAACGTCAAGGACAGAATTTCTGATCAACAGCGAAGTATTTTGATCATTCAGCATCATCCAACTTTTGGAATAAGATCCTTTGCAGGACGACTTCGACTTCTTTTGCAGCAAGATAGAGAAATTCGGGGAGGCTACGGTACACATCAAAAATGCAACATTCATGCCGTCAGGTATTGAGACATCTTTTATATGAATTTTGAGTCATTTGAATGGTATGCAGATTTTGTCACTGATCAATTCCTTGTACCTTCACAACCCTTCGAAGAGGAATCGTCACAAACAAACACATCCGAACTCGAAATTGGAGATGGTATGTGCTTGCATGGTTTTGAATCCATTATCTCACTCCACAAAAAGTAGGTCTGCTTGAAGAAAAGATGTCATTCCATCGGAGATCATGGTTTTCAAGATTTAGTGACTGTCCAATACCTCTCGTCTACATGATTCTCTTCGGGGGATCTGGTTTCGTCTTGTCGGTCCTGGCTGTTGTGTTGGGTTACATGTTCGACTTCAACAACGTCGCTGCCATCGCTGTAGCTCTGCCATGCAATATCTTCTTTCTAAGTTTCTGGGTGAAAGAGGTACGTGTCCACATAGCAATCTTCATAGAAACTTAATGTCAAGACAGGTCGAATCGGGATTTGCTTTTCTGTTTCGTTTGGGTGTAGGATTTCTAGGATTTTACAGCTCTTTGGTCGCTATGGTCTCATTTGGGTGATGAGGCTGCTTGTGTCAGTGTCACATAGTACTAATCCTTTGACAAAGGATTACCAAGCAATTCTTCGTGTTGGCCATTTGCTTCCTGTACCTTCTTTCTTGCTTTTGGTATGTCGAGATTTGTATAAGAGCTCTCGGATGGGAGAGGTAAGAAAACTGTTACCTACATTGTCGGAATTAACATTGCACGACTAGCTGGTTTCAAGGGATTAGAAACCTGTATAATTGGGTCATTGGGGGATGTACATTAGGTGAGTGACTCTAACATTCAAACATTCGACCCTGATATCTGGAATCAGTCGGATTTCGGCAACCAGAAGACGTCGAGGAGATTCAAATCCTTGGGGAACCTCCACCGCCGTCGATCTTCAATGCATTTCAAACAGTTGAAGAGCGATTTCCCGGCGCTCAGTGGATCAGACCGGTCGAGTTTTCTTCCCGAATCGCGAGTTCTCTGAAATTTTCAACAGAAAGTTGGCCAAAGAGTGAAACATATTGGAACCTGCCTTGCAAATTTGTCTGAAAAGATGAGCCCGTTGGGGCCATGGGAAGAAGGAATCATAGAAAAGAAACTAGCACGACAGCTACGAAAGTGGTTGGTCCGTCTAGGAAACAAAACAGACGCTGACTTCAAGAAGTTCTCAACTCTTCCTTGGGGCACTGTGACATATGTCGGTTCGATTGGCATCAAAGTAGAGTGGGACATTGAAACGATTCCTGGCATCAAGGATGCGGGATATTATGCTGATGGAGAGGATGGATTCTATGAGTTGGTTCTGTATCAAGAGGACGATACTGCCAAAGATGAGCTGTACGAGGACGGAACTAGAATTCACTCTGGGGGAAGGTAAGTGCTACTGATGATTTGTGGACATATAATTCAATTCACTTACAATTGCTTTAGTCGTGTCACGTCGGTGACAACTTTTCTTCTCTACTTTTCGAGACGATTTTGTATGCTGTTTTGGTATTGGCTGGCTTTCTTTGCATACTTCGGACTGCTGTATGCTCTTGAATACAGTCTCACGCGCTACGCTGTCTTTCAAGCAATGGGAGGAGTGCAATACGTAGCGAAAGGGCAGATGTTGAACGCGCGGCCTGGAAACAATGTCAACCTTCATATGTACTGCAAAGGACCAGCAATACTCTCTGATTATGATGGAAGACCTGCGATCGTGACAGAGGCCATGGAAGGTGAACAAACTGTCAAGAATCACTGACGATCATCCTGACTTTCTGTCAGGAATCGGCCAAGGAATCTCAATGGCTCGACTGCAAGATTATGTCACCACTAAAGGAATCTGCTGCGTAAGTATCTGCATTTTCATTTTACCTGTTTTCTTTACTCCGCTTGTTTGTGATTACATTGGCAGGTGTATGATAGAGTAGGATTTGGGTGGAGCTCAAACCTGAACGATGGTCCACGAACTCCCCGGAACATTACTAACTTGTTAAAATATGCGCTGCTGTACGGCACAGATTCAGTTAGCGGCAGTCCTCTCTCCTGGACTCTATCATATCAGGGAGCAAACAATGAAACGCTGACGAAGAGCATTCCTATCAAACCTCCGTTTGTGCTACTCGGAAACAGCGCAGGTGCTTTGTATGTCAGGCAGTTTGCACACGAAAATCCAGAGCTGGTTGCTGCCATGATACTGATTGACCCATTGCCAGCGATGCCAACAACCCAGGGGTATATCTTATCGCCTCAGCAGAAATTATTGAGTCCCTTCTGGATGAACTTGTGTTTGAGATTTCTTCAACCCATGGGTTTGGTATACACTCTATTTCCAAACATAGTTTACCAACTTTTCAATCCCTCGACAGCTTTTCTGTTCAACGGAGGTCATTCAGCAAGCTATGATTCTTTCCAGATCATGACTAGCTTCATGTTTGTCAGCAGCTGGTGTCCGGCTGTGTTGAACGAGTATCAAGGTCTGTACAGTAATCCGCAAGTTGGAATTCAGACAGTTGAACAGGCAGACAAAGCTGGCTACAGCATGCCTACGGTGATTTGGATTCGAAATGTAGACAATTTAGCTGGAACAAAGTCTACAGACAAGATTTACCCTCCCCTGCAGAGTTCTGTGTCGAGCAGACGAAATTCAAATGCAACAAGCTGCACGAATAACTGCCTTAGCTGGCAAGACGTGGGCAGGTCCCTGGTTCAATACTTTCGGAATCCTTGGATAGATCCTTTCACGGCAGCGCCAGACATCATGCTCGGCGATAGCACTGGATGCGTTGTGAACAATTGTGATGAATATACTGCGATGGAGAATGCGTTTGAGATCAACTCTGCGGTAATTGATGATTCAAAAAATCCGAAATTTTGAGACCTGACTTTGTGTCGTAGGTTTTGGACATATACAATATGCTTGGATATCGAGTGAATATTTCGAGCACACAATGGAAAATCCGAATGGCTGGAATCGCATCCAATTTCTCCGAAGCAAAGTTCAAGGATGACCTCGGCGTCGTTCTCCGTCAAATAACAAGTGAGTTCATTTTCGTCACAAGCCCTGTCCAAGTCATTCGTCCCAACGTCGGTGCTACAGTGCCGACTCCTCCAGCAAACAAGGATCAATACGTCGGGTTTTCGGGCACGGAGTTTGGAACTCCGAATTACGTGCCCATTAAGAATTTGGGGACGTTTGAAGTCGAAGTCTATTTCTATGGACACAAGCAACTGACTGTAGAATGGGCTACAGGGAATTTGAATGGAAATCAAAATGCCTTGGATACTACAGCATTGTCCAGACGAACAGTGTTCTTGCATCAATGGCAGGTCCTGGAAATACAAGAGAAAAGCTGCATTACAGTGTCAAATCTATCTTGTTCGTTCCAGAACATTGATATCTTCTCCTCAACGTTTGCTCTTCCCATCTATGGATGCCCTCAAAACTCGTACAAGACTGGTAGCTTTTGTACAGCTTGCCCCATCTCAACCACTTCGATCAGCGGGGCCACGAGTTTGGTTGCATGCTTCAAATGTGATTCTAATGGGACGTCGCCAACATCTGGAATATATCAGTACCTGTCCTGTGATGGAAAGACCTGTCAGAAATGTCCAGCAGAAACTCTGAGCAGTGAGGGATCTCTTGGACTGTCAGATTGCACGCCCATCCCTGTCATCACCTTCTGGTTGAATGGACCGATCGGAAATACTTACACCGCCGACAACGTTACTGCACAAGGACTTGGACGGCCATCTCACAACCCGTTCAACAAGAGCAAGTTTCGAGAGATGTTGACCCTTGTTGCAAACATCTCTTACGATCGAATAACATTCCTTGGTGAACCACAAGAAATCAGCAATTACCCAGAATCCCGCTGCGAACAGTTGCGAGGTGCTTGCATATTTCAGTTTTCAGTCATGTTTTATGCAAGCTCAACGGAGCTTCTCAAGACTTCGGTTGCGAGAGTCACGGGCGATGAGTGTAAGAAGTATGACCGAATCACTTGCGTGTATCCGGATGTGAATGGGACGGCACAGCTCTGGCGAACAAAAATGATGTACGAGTATCAAATTCTCAAGATCTTCACAGAAACCAGACAGAGCAAAGCCGCCGGGACTTGTCCCGACAAATGGATCGTGGGACCAAAACTCCTCATTGATGTGGATCTTTTCAAGAGCAGCTTTCTTTCTGTCACTTACGCCTGTCCGAATAAGTACTACCAATCTTCCAGTGGATTTTGTGAACCTTGTCCTGACATGACAACCTCTGATCAGGGAGCCACTGATATCGCTCACTGCATCCCTTACAACAGCTTCTTTCTCACCGCAAAGGATGCTTCGCTGACCTACGATTCTCGGACTAGAATTGCATCCGGGGGTCAGACCTCGGCACAGCCAAACGCCTATGACATCAACAAGAACCCGGTTTACTACATCATTCGCGGATACTCTCTACATCCTTACCAGATAGCCTCGCCTGCGAGCCCTGCGCTTGGGAATCAGATAAGCTACTGCTCGAATCGTTTGAACTGCTTCAACGAGAGCGAGTTTCGTGTGAACCTGAGCACTGTTCTGCAAGGAAAGGTCACGGCCAATGAGATTCGTTTGGTCAAAGCAGACTTCTGCAATTCCACAGATATGTACCAGAAACGTCTCTGCGGTCCATGGCCGGGAGTTGCACCGTACAACAAACAGTGTGTCTGTGCCAACATATCAAACTCGTCGATATGCTACGAGACCAGGGGATATCTCCATCTTTCTTTGTACATCGGCAAGACTGCAAATGTGAACTCACCGTTCCAGTCTAACGTGAAAACAGCATCTGATTGTGCACAAATCTTGCAGACTCCAGACTATTTGAACTTCAGTGCAAACGCATTCCTTTACAATCCTAACTCCTTGACATGTTGGCCTCGTGTTTTGGATCTGAAAAGCGAGAATCTACATTCGAATCTCTTCTGCTACTCGAATAGTCCAGATTGTCGGGACTTGGTCGCAAACTTTGCACAAGATAAGGTCGTTGCTGCAGACAAGCTGGCAGGAACTCAGTTGTACTGGATCAACACTAGCTCCTGTATGATGAACAATTCGTTTGTCCTGGAAGATTCTTCGAAATGTGACCTCAAATCGAATCTCAATTCAAACCCGTTGGACATCCACCACTACATCATCAGTCTCCATGCGGACAACGCAAGTAATCTGAGAGATGCTGTGAGCATCCTGACCTCAGCGGCTGGAAATGAAAACGAGTTGAAGTATCAATTCTTCACGAATTACGCCATCTTGCAAGTGATGGAGGCTGAAGACAAGTCACTTATCAACGGGACGTCAGCGGAGAGGAGTCTGATCCAGTCGAACAACTTCGATCCCCACATGCCTTACCTAGTAGAGACCACTGCTCTCTGCAACGTTTCTGGTTGGGCTCGAGGTGCTTCTTGTCTGTCGACCGCATCTGCAATGGTTTCGTCTGGGTACGCAGCATGTGTCTTCAACGCGACCCTGCAGAAGGTCGTGCAGGTTTGCCCTGCGGGATATGCCGCTAGCTGCGGTGAAGGTTTGCCTCCTGAATGCATCAGCCAAAACTCTTCTCATCGTCAGGCGTCCCTTGCATTCTTGTTACCCTTCGATTCCTACGCTAAGCTCTATTTCAAAAGCAATGCGCAGCTGAGCCTTTGTCAAGCAGCAACATGCAAATACCTACCTGCAGATGTTCTGCTGACCCGAGTTGATATCGGATGGTCGAGCACAGCAGGTGTGCCGTCTGAGTTAGTTCTGCTGGTGTTTAGCGATGGAAGCTCTCAAACTCTCAACCTGACGCATCCGGATCAAGTCTTCACCTACTACATCCAGCCGGTGGTCACTCAGTCCCTGTCAATACAATCTCCGACGGCGTTGTATGATCTTTCCGTATTTTGGTTGGAGCCTTTCGGACAGCAGTTTTCCGAGACCAGGCATAATGAAGCCATGAAGGTCGCAGACATCTTACAGCAAGACTTCATGGCGAGAGATTACAACTTCTCTTGTCCCCCCACCACCTTCAGATCAGGAAGATATTGCACCGCGTGCCCTTATCCGCAGGTCAACTTTGGGCCCAACGGCCATGAGTGCCGTTGCCCTGTATGCGGCGATGGTGCAGTGCAATGGCAGGCGAGGGAGCAGTGTGACGACGGCAACCTGATCAACAACGATGGTTGTAGCTCGGAGTGTACCATCGAGGTCTCGCAAGTCTGTCAGGGCCCCAAGAATCCTTTCACCTTGGTCGGGATCCCATCCGAGTCTTACTACATCAAAGATCAGTGCAACCGCCCCGGCGCCTTCTGGACGGACTTCGGCACTGCGTCGTTTGCGCCGCGTTTCGGACTGACGGCAACCTATCACCGCAACTACACGTGGATCTTCGGAGGTGATGCCGCTGGTTCTATCGCTCCCTCCCCTCCTGACCCGTTTGCAGGCATCGGCTCCAACTTCGCCAACTTCTACAACGACATCTGGATCATGAACGAGACGGACCTCTGCGTCCCCAGGAAAGAGTCTCAGTCTTGCGCGAATGCCGGGCCCAACGGAGGCTCTCCGGTGATCTATCACAAGATCACATCGATAGGCGACACACAACCCAGCGCGCGGGGCCTGCACGGAATGATCTCCTTCAAGGGGAAGCTGTATCTTATCGGGGGAGCGATAGCCAACAACGAACAACAGAGAAATCTGAATCAAAGTTTTGATGATGGTGATGCCTGCGTCTGTTGCTCCCGCACACTGACGATGATCTTCAGTATTTCAATCGGACGGAGTGCCGTCAACAGGAGGAACTGTCACCTGGACGCGTGTTGGACGCCTTCCGCAGGCTCGATGTATGTTCAGCCTCATTGAGTTCAACAACACCATCGTCATCATGGGAGGATTGTACGTGACAACTGCAGGAGGCCTCGTTGCTAACCCGATCAGCAACGTGCTGGCGGCGGACCTGCGAGACCCGCAGTTCGGCAGGTCCTGGGCCCTCCTGACAGAAACGGCGAGATGGGGGCAGCGATACGGTCACACGGTGACGATCCGGGAGAATCTGCTCTACCTGTTTGGGGGGATCGTGGGTAAGAACGCGATGAACGACGTCTGGAGGTCTGCAGATGGAATCACTTGGATACAGCTGACGTCGTCAACGAGATGGTAATCGCAAGTGTGTCGGACAAGTTGCGATGTGACTCGCAGTGTTCAGGGGACGACGAGGGCTGCTGTCAAGCATCTACTACAAGCAGAGCTTGTGGGTGCTTGGAGGGTTCAACAGCACCATGAGCTCGACGATAGAACCCAACAAGTTCTACAGCGACGTCTGGGTGTCGACGGGGCTGGAGAAGAGAGCCGATGGCTCGTTGGCTGATCCTGGTGAGATTTGGCAGCCGGCGACTGAGAACGCAGCGTGGTTGAAACGGGGAGCCTTCGGTAAGGAGATGTTGCTTCGTGCTTGTTTGATGGTTGGGTGCAGCCCTAGCGGTGTACGAGAAAGGAGCGACAAACAACCTCTGGCTGTTTGGCGGGATGGACTCGCTGATACAGGGACGTAGCGACAGCTTCCGGGCATATGTGTTGTAGATAGATAGTGATGTATCGATAGAGAGGAGGAGATTGGACATGGGAGAAGGAAAACAAGGACAAGCAGTTGAACATGAAAGATGTGTTTGGTTGCATGTAAACATTTCACGGCTCCTTGGCATGTTAGAGCTCAAAAAATTATCCCGCGCTCCAGTCGCGCTCGTTCTAGTCGCTCCTCCTGGTATTTGTCCTTGGCTCTCTGAAAGGCGATAGCAGTAGCCTCCTCCCAGACCTGAACCTCCGTCAGACCACCTGTAGCTCAAGTACAGCTGGGGGGTTACCTGGGTGGGGATGTATTCCTCCATGAGCTGATCTTCTAGAGATTCTTCCCACATGTTCCCGCTGCTCTCAAGACGAGCTATCGCCGCCTCTGCCTCCATCACAGTCATCCTTCGCA